AAAAACAAAAAACAAGAAAGAAAATCTCAGAATAACCCTGACCAAAGACATTAAAGAGCTCTACAAAGAAAATTTTAAATATTTAAAGAAAGAGACTGAGGAAGACATCAGAAGATAGAAGGACATCCCATGCTCATGGATTAGAAGAATTACTATTCTGAAAATGACCATCCTACCAAAAGCCATTTATAGATTCAATGCAATGCCAATCAAAATCCCCATGACATTTTTTACAGAATTGGAAAAAGCCCTCCTAACATTCATATGCAAGCACAAAAGACCTCGGATAGCCAAAGCAACCCTGAGCACTAAGAACAATGCTTCCAAGTGAAGCCAGCCATGGTTGAGCAGGACCTTTGACTTATCTTCACATAGACAGAACTAGTAAAAGAAAGGAGCCAGGGGCTCCTCCCAAGCCCACGTGGCCCCTCAGGAACAGATCCTCAAACGACCTTAAGAGTAAAAATAAATTGGTTTATCTGGGCCAACTGTATGGCCTTAAACACCCAAAAGAAAAGTATAACCAAAGATTAAAGGAGCCAATATAATTTCAACAGCTAAAGGCTACAGAACAAGCAACAATGCCAAATAGGAGATACCTTCTTTTGTGTTGTTGGACAGGGTGGCCCAAGGGACTCCCAGATGGTATCCCAGCATAGAAATGGGAAAACGAACAGCAGATCCCAACCTTTTCTAAAGGAATATTGACAACTGATTGCTGCTAGATGAGGAACAGCCGACCTTCCTAAAACAAAGACCTCTAGATAGGCTGACTAGATTCATCAGATGGACAAGTAGTGGGGAACGGGTGGGCGGCTGACCACACAGCGGACAGTAGCAGGGATAACAGTATAAGGGCTCTAGTACGGGGAGAGAGGCTATGGGAGGGTGCCATCTGGGAAGTGGGTGTATAGTTGAGTAAGATGGTTTGGGATGTTCTGTGTGATACACACACACACACACATAAATCAACAAATTTTTAAAAATGTATTGTATTTGAGGAGAAAGCATAAAAAATTACATGTTAATTAGTAGAGGTGGTAAATATTGCCATTGAAATCTACCTGATGACTTTATAGACATACACAGGTGCCAAGGATCCATGTGCAACTGACTATGACTAGTAATAATCAGATACATACAGATTAGAGATGCATGCACCAACATCTCAATGTTAGTAGCAAAAACAATGATTCTCTCTGTAAGAAACAGTTTATTTTAAAATGAAATGGAGATCTTTGTTAAAGGTTAAAAACTCATTCAATTTTTTGTCTTACATGGCTTATACTGAGTTCAGTATTGTATAACTGTTTGAAAGAGTTGTATCTTTGCTCTGGAAACTGTTATTGAGCATATTAAAGCAGTAATGATATGCTTCTTCTAAAAAAATTAAAAAATAATATTTAAAAAATGTAGGAAATACCATATTTTACAATGAAATGGTGATCTTCTTTGAAGGGTAAAACTCATTAAATTTTATATCTTTAGGGTTTGTACTGAGTTCAATATTGTATAACTGTATTAATTCAACTGTATACCTAAAAATTTCTCTCCAATTTTGAAAGAGAAGCATTTTATCTCTGGAAAATTGTTTAAAAAAAAACACACCTCATTTACAGAACTAAATGTGTTCTTTTTTCCCTGCCATTAGCTTTCAGATTATGCAGCAAAGATCTCCAGGGTTTTTTAAAAATGACTGGCTCCCACCATGTGAGTGTGGTGGGGGATGGGCTAGGAGAATTAGACTCCTCCCCAACACACTGCCACATCTAGAATTGGCTTACTATATTTTATTAGTAATAATCAGATATATAGAGATTAGAAATGCATGTGCAAACGTCTTAGCGTTACTTGCCTTAAAAATGAATTTTTCTGTATAAAATTGTGCATTTTAATAATGAAATGGAGATCTTTTTTAAAGGTTAAAACCTCATTTAATTTTATGTCTTATAGGGTTTATACTGAGTACAATATTGTATAACTGTACTAATTCAACTGTAAACCTAAAAATTTACAGCCAATTTTGAAAGAGATGCATCTTAGCTCTGGAAATTGTTACTGAATATGTCAATGCTGTTGTAATGAAATGCTTCTTCTAATTATGTGGTTATTAAATAAATCATTTAAAAAAATAAAGTAGCAAATGAATTACTGAAGTTGCCTTTTAAAAAATTTACATGAGCACCTTACCAGATGGAGGGTCATCCAAGGGAAATTCAAACAGTCTGGATTTGTAAACCGAGTGAAAATGGAAATCCTCCTGAAATGACACAAGGGGCAGAGATTAAGCGTATATAAACACTGTGTCTCTGGCTTCAGGCAATCATAGCTGGAGAATCAGGGAACCCTTAAGAGAACTGCAGCTTGACAAGGTGTTTGCTTAGGTTTGGAGAGGCCACAAGCCATTTCAAAGTCCTCATTCTCCACTGTATTGTTCCAACAGTAGAGCCATCATTCCAATCTGCCTCCCAGGCACAGAAGCCAAAGCTGCAGCAAATGGAAAATAAATGAGTGGACCTATTCCCTCAAGGGAATGTAAGCCATCTGGGAATATGGGTTAATGACTGGCTCCTTTCATGGCTCCTTCCCCCTTTTAAAAGTCAGATAAAGGCAAAGACTACAGAGCTACCAATCTTTCTGATAACTCGGAACAGGCTGACAGGTACAAGCAGATGTCCAGATTCCTGTCAGAGATCATTCTCCTAGAAAGCAAAAGATAAAAACAATACTTTTTCTGGCTATCCAAGTGATAAAAAATTAGAATGTCATAAATAGGCAAATCTTATACTACCTTTTTAAAAAACAGTGTCATGCAAAGTGATAAGGCAGCCACAGTAGATACCAGGAAATACTCAAGTCAGAACAACAGAGAGAATGCTTACAACTGACAAAACAGTGTGCATCCCTAGAAACCACCTTCTCTGTACCTGTCTGACCAATATGACACTAGGCAGTTTGCATGAAAAGCTAGAAGAGAAGAGCATAATTCTTGCTGTCTACAAGACACTCAACCTTAGTCAAAGGCTAACAAGAGCTCTGGAGTAAATAATGCTAAACCAATCCTTTCCTAATTTGTAGCAAATCAATGTTTCAAATCCAGTAAGGAAGAGAATTAGGAAGCCCCAGGATCATCTAAACTTTATTGCATAAAGCATTAAAGGCAACATGCATAATAGAAAAATTTGGAATCTAGAAAAGAAAGTAGGGTGAAAAGCATATATCTTTGAATTTGATCTGCTCTGGACTGAATGTTTGTATCACATACCAGATTCATATCAATATATTGGTATTGGTGGCTCTAACACAGTGTCCCTGTATCTAGGGAGAGGGCCTGTGAGACATAATGAAGATTAAATGAGGCTGGAAAGGTAGTGCCCTGATACAACACAGCTGGCATCCTCACCTCAGAGGACAAGACAGTCAGAAATCTCCCTCCCCTTCCCTCCCATCCCCACCTCCTTCCCTCCCTCCCTACCTCCCTCCCTCCCTCCCCCCAAGGTCTCAGTATTGACATTTCCATTTGCAATGACAAACAAAGCACTTACTTGAGAGGTCTCATTTTCTTCTGGCTCAATGAGAAACGTGTGGTTCCCATCATAGAACATTCCACTGCCAAGTACAAGAAAACAATTAGACATAGCTACCAAGTCTCATCCCAGAGCAGGATGTTTTAGGATCTTCAACAGGACTAGTTATTTTCAGTGTTTTCTTTCACAGACATCACCATCATCACCAGATACACGGCACCACACACGCGCACACACACACACACACACACACACACACACACACACACACTGATGAAAGGCAAAAGCCCCTCTCTTTAAATCCCCCTCAAATCAGGCCTTCTTATCTTGAACCCCGCACTCAGGACTGTGTTCTGTAGCTGGTGTCCACTGCTCCTCTAGCGTGGAATTCTGAATCTTTACTAAACAAAGGTCACCTAAGAGTTTGTGAAAATGCAGGCCTCTAAGGACCCACCTTCTCAGCTCAAAAGCTGCATTTAAACAAATCCCAGGGGCTGGAAGTGGTGGCTTAGGCCTGCAATTCCAGATACCAGAATTGAAGGCAGGAAGATCACAAGTTCAAGGATGGCTTAGACAAATTAGTGAGATTCTGTGCAAAAATAAAATGTTAAAAAGGCCTGGGCTAGGGATATAGCTAAGTGGTTGAGTGTTTACCTGGCATGCACAAAGCTATCCAGCACTGGGGGGAAAAAAACAAATAAAACTAAAAACAATAACAACGAAGACCCACCCAGGTGATGCTGATGACACATCCTGTCATACTGTGAACAGTCTCCCAGCATATACCTTAAGGATACTCTGGTAATAGGAACAGACATGTTTCAACAGTTTGCTCTGAACTAAATATTTTGCACTCATGTAACCTTTCTACAGATATATGAGAGACAACTACCCTCACTGTACATGTAAGGAAACAGAAATCCAAAGAAATGAAGCAAACTTCCCAGATCCCATAACCGGTAGAAGGAAGGCAGGAAAGAATATAGTCTATGAAATGGGTAAACAGACTGCCCATCTATGATCTGAGACCACCTTCATCCACTCATGGAGCATGAACTTGCAGATACCAAGAAGAAACAGCTCCAGATGCTGGGGCTAGAGCAGTAAACAAAACAAACCAATTTTCTATCCTCATGGTGTTGATCCATAATTTAGGGAGAATAAAAAATAAATATAACAGATAAAGAAAATGAAAATGAATCTTCTGGAGGAAAATTAAGCATGATAACGGCAATAATTAGTACTAGAAGACTAGGTGTGAGAGACCTGAGATTGAAGACTATGTTTCATCCGGGAGTTCAGGGAAAGGCTTCAGAGAGATGTTTATATTACAAAGTCCATTTCCCATGCTGCCTGGGAAGAGAAATCTTGGCATGGTCCAGGAACAATAAGAGGGCAGCACAGCTGGAGTAGAGTGGGCAGGGAACAGAGTACCAAAAAAACAGGATCAGAGGCTTAGTGGGGGCATCTTAGGCAGCCTCTTCTGAGGGCCTGGGCTTTTACTCTGAGAGGTGAGAAGACTGTTATACAGACATTTTAAAAAAGATTTATTTTTATTTTAGTATTTTTAATTATGGGGTGGAGGTGTGTGCATGTGAGTGCAGGTACCCCTCAAGCTGGAGTTACAGGCAGTTTATGAGCCACCTGAGTTTAGTCTTCTACAAGAGTGGTATGGACTCTTAACCACTGAACAATCTCTCCAGCACCCATCCACCCAGGCTTTTAAGTAGAGGAAACACCTTTACCCCTGCTTTTTTAGTATCTGTTTGTTTATTGAGACAGGGTCTCATTCTTTTCCCAGGCTTGTCCCAAACTCATAGCAATCTTCCTGCTTCATTCTCTCAAGTGCTAGAATTACAGGCATGAGCTACCACGCTTGGATCTCCCAGTCACTGTGTTACAACAATCCTTAGGATAGCAGGAATTACTAGAACAGAATTACTATATTAATCTAGGTGAAAGAAGAGAATGGCAATGGCAAAAGTGCTGAGAACTGGCCAAATTCTGGAGGGGTAGGCATGAGTGTTGTGTGCGTACATGTGTGTGTGCGTGTATTGCTGAGGATGGAATCCAGGGCCTTACATGCTAAGTCCATTACATTATATCACTGAGTTATATGCCCAGCTTGGGTATATTTTGAAAGTAGAACCAAAAAGATTTGTTGATAGGTTTGATGCAGATGCAAGAAAAAGAAGATTCAATGAGAAGTCCAAAGTTTTGACCTGAGTATTGGAAGGTCAGTGTTGTCATTAAACAGCCTGAGAACAGCTTCAGGAAAAAACTGTGAGCAGTCCCAAGGAAGCAAGGTACAGGAAGGAAGGTACAAAGCTAGAGTGGCACGGGAGCTCTTAGGCTGGAAGTGGCTATCTGCCATCTGAGAAATCCTCTAGGGTGTCTGAGGTGCCACAGTCTCAACTCCCACTCAGAGAGATCCTGATAGCCTTCCCATTAGAAGAACACAATGTTTCTACTGAGATCGTGTCCCTTATAGGGTAAAGAAACTTGTCTCATTCAGGCATGTGAGAGGAGCAAAACTGTGATCTTTTGCAGTGATTTTTCAGTTTACAGTGGAACAGCCCATATGACAGCCAAGCTGTTAGACACAGAATATTATTTGTCTTCCATTGATGCCTTTGTGAAATCTGTTGATTTCCCTGAGCTATAATTATAATGGTTTCCAGGTCTACCTCTATCTAAATTCTTCCATTCCTGCTGTAACATCTTCCGTATGTCCTCAACTTTCATAAACCCACAGAAGAGCCATGTTCACATCTGCACAGTTGTCAAACATAAGTGTATTTCTGAATTTGGAATTAAAAAATAAACAGATGTTGGGGCTGGAGAGATTGCTCAGCAGTTAAGAGCACTGGTTGCTCTTATAGAGGACCCAGGTTCAATTCCCAGAACCTACGTGGCGGCTAACATCCATAACTCTAGTTCCAGTCAATAGGGACTTAACTCCCTCTTCTGAATTCTGCTGGTACTGTACAACATGGGCGCACTTACATAAGTGCAGGCAATACACTCATACACATAATACAAAAATAATAATAAAAATTAAAATAAACATGTAGTCAGCAAGGCACTACTAATGATATATGACTAAGGAATCAGAAGGGGGAATCCTCTTTTAAACAAACTAAATACAGCAGCCAACATTCTCTCTATCCTTGCTGAGAACTGGCCAGGTCCATCCAGAAAATCATATGACCATTAACCTTTGCCAAAGTTCACATGGCAATGCTAGTTAAATAGCAAGCAGGTTATTTTATGTAAATATGGTGCCATTGCCCTTTGCATTAGATTAATGTCCAATGGGAAAATCAGGTGGATTTTTTTTTTGGTGGGGGGAGTGGTTCAATGCCATGTAATGTAAGGAAGCATTATTAAGTTTAGAGAAAGAGATTCTGACTCAACTTGGAAGATTCCAGTTCCCTGAAACAATATGTCATTATTGATTCCTTGATAATAAAAAAAAAACAGGTATTTTATTTGTTTTGAGGATTAACACCTTTTCATTAAAACATAAATTATAGTAAGTGTGTTAAGTCCCTAACAGTATATACTTGAAAAAAAAACTTATAGCTAGAACCAAGTACCTATGGAACAATTGATCTAAATTTTTATATAAAGCCAAATCAAAACAAGATTTTGAAAGGAAAGAGCAATCATTCTCACAAATTTCCACAAGAGGGCAATAAATATATTTGATTTCATTTTTTTAGGGTTCCCATAGTTATAAAATTTTGTCATAACATCAAACATACTAGGATCAAAATATTGCCTATTAATCTTTTGAATTTGTGTAAATGAATCCTCATAGACTCCTTATGGAAAAGGCATGTGAATTTACTTTTCTTGTTTTATGTTCTGTAACTGAATACAGTAAATCAGAAAAATGAATAAACCTTAGTATGTACTTGGTAATTTATAAAAGACGAAACATGCAAGAAACAATGCAGCATCTATCTAAACCATTATAACTGAGACAGGCTATCTTGTTTAATGTTTATTAGCAATAGGTCCAAAATATTGCTGGGAACAATTTTGTTCAGAAAGTAAAATGAAGATGATAATAAATAAGTAACAAAGGGTATGAAGTATGTTTACCTAACATGCTGATAGTGTCTAAGAAAGTCCAAGTATAGCTGTATACAACTCTGTCAGGGTTCCTAGATACACAATGGATTTTCTGTTCATCTTGTTTTGCTTAATTTTAAGTGATAGGGTTTCTAAAGGTAGAAATAAAATGGGCTGACTTAAAGCAACTGAGGCAGGATTGTGAGAGGTATAGCTCCACCCTTCCTTAAATGACCCTGTTGGGAAACCAGCTATCATTCTTAGGTTCTAATAGAGCCCTTAAAAGAAGCTAACCTCTTAATTGATTTATAACTTGCTATATAGAATTGTGGTGTTACTATGGAATTTACTCTGTGATCAATTGGTGTGGTGTCATTGTGTTATTTTGATATATCACAGTGAAAGATTTATCGTCCTCTTTTTTTTTTTTTTTTTTTTTTTTTTTTTAAAAAAAAAAAAAAAAAAAAAAAAAAAAAAAAAAAAAAAAAAAAAAAATAAAAAAAAAAAAAAAAAAAAAAAAAAAAAAAAAAAGAAGCCAGTATGTTCCCCCTGGTTCTCACAATACTGTGTCCATTTGAGAATCTGGGAAGCAAACTGAAGACCAGAACATGATGCTCACATTGTGACTTGGATTGAGATTCTAAGACTAAAAGGAAGAAAAGAGCCTCTTTTTTTGTATCACTCTTCCCTCCAATACACACATTAATATCGGCAGACTCCACCGTACAGTTCCTAGTCTACAGCTCTTCTGTATTCAGAATCAGATATACCAATTTTACTGTTGAAAATTACTTCAGGGGGCTAGAGAGATGGCTCAGTGGTTAAGAGAACTGACTGCTCTTACAGAGGACATGGGTTCAATTACCAGCACCCACATGGCAGCTAACTGTCCATAACTCCAATTCCAGGGATCTGACACCCTCTTCTGACCACAACAGACAGTGCACAACATGGGTACGCTTATATACATGTAGGCAATACATTCATACGCATAAAATAAAAAAAGAAAAAATTATTTCAACATTTCTTTCACTTGGTAAGAAAATCAAGGCTATTGGGTAATAAGCAAAGGTTCTCTGTCTGTAAAATTTCTCTTTACTCAATGAATATATGTAAAATAAGCAAATTTATACATTTATTTTTAATAGGTAAGAAACAAATGGAAGCTTTCCATTTACTCAAACAAGCCTCCCTTCTCTGTTATTCTCTTACCCTCGTTCTCTCTCCTTTCTGCCTCAGATCTCCTCCCAGGGCCAGGCCAGAGGAACCATTGAGTAGACCAGCCAGACTCTACAAACTTTCTCATTGTGCCTCCTTTGTAGATTAAATATCTAACACCCATTGGAAGATTCTCTCAAAGCCTGCTGCAGGGACCACTCTACCTGGCACAGGTAACATACCCTTGGAGCCCTCACTTTTTACCTGTCCTACAGTGCCAAGCCTCAGCTTATATTTTTCCCTCTGTGGTTTTTTTTTTTTTTTTTTTTTTTTTTTTTTTCTCTCTCAAAAAAAACAAAAAAAGAGGACGATAAATCTTTCACTGTGATATATCAAAATAA